GGACTGCTGTTAACATCGGGTGGGGGGAGCGTAAGATACTGAAGGACTAGCCGCCAGAATACGTAAAACCAAGAAAAAAAAAAAACAAACCAAGCCCACTGCCGCCTGCGTTTAGTAGGAAAAGACCTAAAGACATGGCAGGCATTTCACAGAAGAAGGAAACGAACATTTTCTGGGAAGCGTAAACCAAGACCACAATGACACCCATTTTCCAAACCAGGGTTGGCATCACGGAGGAGGCGGGCCGAGGTGGCGCTTGGAAACCACCAGTGCCGTCTGGCCCCGAGTCACAGTTCCACACCTGGGTGCGTCCCGAGAGGCTTCGTACAGGTACAGTCGTGTGGGAGTGTGCGTGGACGCAGTTCCGTGGGGAAGGCCGACTGGACAGCCGCATCTGTGGGCCCCAGGGACGAGAAGCCGCGAGGCTGCACCGAGGAACCAGAAGGAGTGAGTGAGCTGCAAGCGCCTGGATGCGCCTCCGGAGCGTGGGGTTGGCCAGAAGGCTCGTGGAGCAGATAGCGCTTAGCCTTGAACAGTCTGTATATCTGAGAAACAAGCAGAGTAAATGCCGCCTCGTCTAGGATGGTTACGGACATGATGAGGCTAGTAGGGAGCAGGGAAGGAAGGATAAGCACAGAATTTGGGATGTTGGCTCCCTTTTGCGGCTAACCATCAGGTTACAGGATCGTCCTGCTGGCTTTGTAAGCAGGTTCTTTAAGATAGAACATAAGCGGCCCTGCTGTCGGGGCCTGAGAGGTTGTGCACCTTCAGTGAAGTTTGGATGGGGCCGTGGGCACAGTGCGATGATTGCCGGGGTGATGGACGCGTACAGGTCCCCAGGCCCAGTCACCACTGCCGCGCAGCTTTGTGTGAGCCACCCGGGCTGTGAGTGCTGCGCGGGCCGGGTCCAGAACACGGTCCTGTGGTGTGCACCCAACAGGTGGGCCTGCGTGACGCCAGGCTGCCACGCCTTCCGGGAAGCCCAGCGCTCACCCGCTCGCCTGGCAGGCAGACAATGCACCGGGCTGCCCTTGTGCGCTCCCTTCGTGAGGCTGCTGACAGGGAAATAGGTCTTAGATGGCTTCTTACAAGTGGCACTTTGGGTACTTTTTCTCCTTTCAAAAGAGAAAAATCCCTTTCATGAGTAGGCGAGCCGGAAAGGCCTGGGCCCTGACTTTTCTGCATGAGTGCCCGCGACTTGCGGGCTGAAAGGCAGGAGAAAGACCACTGGCTGGCGCCCGGAGCAGCCATCACTTCTTTAGAGCCTGTGAATGTGGTGCCCTGGGAGGGGGGCTGAAAGGTGGCACGTGGGCCTCTCCCCTCCGCCCTCAGCTGCTCAGATCTTTATCCTTTGGGAGCCCCTGAAATGGCGAGATAAAGCAGTTTTTAAGGTTTCCAGCAGATGCCTTTGGAGACAAACTGAATTTCCTGCGTTGGTCCTAGGAGGTGACAATGGCCGTCTGCCTGCCCCTGGCCCCCCATTCAGGGGAAAGCTGCTTAAGCCACTTAAGCACATTAGCATCTGGATGGGAACCCAACCTCAGAGACCGGGAAGGAGGAGGAAGGCTCAGAGCCCGGGTGTTTGGGTGCTTGCTCTAATCCAGGGTCTGTTTGAAGGCAACCAGACTGACTTGTGACACATGAGTCCAAAAGCCACTTTGGGGGTTGACCTGATTAGCGGGTCTGTGCTCTGCACACCAGTGCCTGTGGCCTGAGGCAGCTTGGGAACATCTGGTGGGTGGCCGTCACTGCTGCCCAGAGCCCGGCAGCCACTGCTCACGCCAGGCCCACCGGAGGCTGGGATTCTGTGCCCAGGGTGGGAGGCAGCAGGGCTGCTGAAGGGGCCCACAAGGCTCACAGCCCGGGGGTGTCCCTCCTCACACCACAGCCAGAGCGTGCCACCAGAGGGGTGGAGGGTGTTAGGCTAAACACTCCATCTCGGGGTCCTCCCCAGAGCCCAGACCTCTGTGCCCAGCCTCGTTGTGACCCCAAGGCCGGTTCTTCTGGGGGGTCATGTTAGTACGCCTCAGCAGCAGTCTGCGTGGACTGGCCATGGTGCTCAGATTTCCCTCAGGGAATTTTATTTTTTTAAGGCAGAATTAGTTGACAGCTTAAAAACCCTTACGTTGTAGTGGTTCTTTTAAATTTTTTTAATAAAAATCATTTATTTTTTTAACAGGTTTATTGAGGTATAATTTATATGCAAGCAACAGTACAGCCTAGGCTGTTCTGTCCCCCAGACAGCGCTCTCCAGCCCCAGGGGACAGTCCCTGCTCCCACCCAGCTGCTGGGGACAGTCCCTGCTCCCACCCAGCCCCTGGGGTCAGTCCCTGCTCCCACCCAGCCGCTAGGGACAGTCCCTGCTCCCACCCAGCCCCTGGGGTC